GCACATGGTTCCAACATGATGGTGCCCCTCCACATTTCGTGAGGTTCGTCCGTGAGCGCCTCAATGAGTTATTTGATGATCGCTGGATCGGCAGACTAGGACCACACGCTTGGCCACCTCGCTCACCAGATCTGACTCCGTTAGACTTCTTTTTGTGGGGTATGTAAAAGAAAGGGTTTTTAATCGTGAATGTGATAGTGCTGAAGAAATGCGCCAAAGGATCGTGGATGGTTTCGAGAAACTACGTACGGACTGTGTCGAAGACCACACGATGATGCCCCGCCTGCACCCAAATCTACCTTGAAATGAATGGAGCACAATTTGAGCCGCATCTCATAAGACCACGGAGGATTTAGAGCGGTAAGCTGTTTCATACCTATTTTTTTTTTAAATAACTTAGTACTAGACTAATCTGAATAGGTACATAACTGAATACATGAGAATAATAAACATACACGATGAATAAAAACTCATGACTCCAACTTTGGTTACATTTCATTTAAGTATTTTTTCATTAGCGGGGAATCGAACCAGTTATTTGGGTTATTTAACCTGTAAATTCGGATTAAAGTGGCTAAGTGGAGACAAGCACAGTGGCAAAATAGTAGGTTAAGTAGATAAGTAAGGTATTTAGACAAGTGTTGTAAATTATTAGATATTGTGGTTTGGCCCGCTAGTTGCGGGCCGCGCGAATTTGCGTTCGCGCGTACATTGACCTTTCAGTCAGGTGATATAAATTCAGTCATTCCACTGCTGGTTTTATGTTTCAGTATTTTCATGATATATTTTATGAAATTATCGTTTCATTTAGCTGTACTAACATGATGGCGCGTGAATAAAGCTAATAAAACGGTGTAAAAAGTTGATTTTTTTTTCATCAGGATCGAATTTATTTGTGACCCATGATCAAAGGTGTACTTGGTGTTGTCGCCTGTCTTAGTTTTCGGGAGCGTTCCAAAAATACCCTGTATGTAAAGATTACCTTAAAACACAAAATTAAGGAAATACATTTGACGCATGCATCATGCTTACAGCTTGACATACTAAATAATACAATTTTATGTATCTATAGATCACCATCAAATAATAATGCTGATGCTTTTATAAATTCATTGAATTTACATTTACATTCTATAAAGTCACTTAATAATATTTTTATCACAGGTGACATTAATATTAACATAGCTCTCAAGCCCATAGAACTACCCCAAGAACAAAAAAATCGACTAAATTACTTAAATGGGTTATCTGAGCACGGTATATTGGCCGGCCACACTATCCCTACTAGAGAACAGAACTGCCTAGACCATATTATGTTAAATATAAATAAGCACAAAGTACAGGCATCTATATTTGTATTACACACGACCACTACTGACCATTATGCAACTTTCCTCTTACTCTCAAAAATCAAACCTAAGCTTTTGGTATCTAAATCAAAAACATCCACAAATTTTGACAAGGCTCTAGATCACCTTAAAAACCAAAACTTAGGTACACTGTTACAATGTGATGACCCAGAGTTTATAACTAATCAGTTGATTTATACAATTATCAACTCACTAAAAGAACATACAGTAAGCACAACTATTTCTAAAAAAAATCGTATCCTAAAACCTTGGATCACACCAGGTATTTTACGCTGCATAAGAAACCGCAACAAGCTTCAAAAACAAGCACGTAATGAACCTCACAATGTAACAATCACAATAACATACCGGAGGTATAGAAATTACTGTAACAATCTCATTAAAAAGTTAAAAAGAGACTATGAGCGAGAGTTGTTGGCTACATCGGTCAAAAATAATAAACAATTATGGAAAAATATCAAAACTATTACTCACACTAATAAACTCAAGACTTTAAATACAGAACTTCTCAATATTACTGATAACCCGATAGCCTCCGCAAACTCAGTAAATTACTATTTTTCTAATATTGGTAAACAGCTTGCAGAACGGATTGAATATGTTGAAAACGACTCTAACTCTTACCTCCATAACCTGCCAATACATCCGAACTCCTTTGTACTTCTACACACTGATTATTATGAAGTTAACAATATTTTGATGAACCTAAAATCTGAAAGTTCTCCAGGCTGGGATAATATCTCGACTGCTTTTCTTAAACATGCAAAAGAAGTGATTGTTCCCATTATAACTCACCTAGCAAACCTGTCCTTTGATAAAGGAGTATTTCCAGCTCCCCTAAAGCAGTCGATCATTATTCCGGTTTACAAGACTGGGGATAGAGATGACGTAAGCAACTATAGACCTATATCGGTGCTGCCTGTGATATCCAAAATACTTGAAAGACTTATAAATGTAAGATTAAACGCCTACTTACAAAAATATGAGATCTTGTCTTCTTCCCAGTTTGGTTTCAGACAGGGAAAGTCGACCGAAGATGCAGTTTCTGCATTGAGCTCATTGGTAGTAGAGGAAATGGATAAACATAATAAATGCATAGCAGTTTTCTTGGATTTGAAGAAAGCGTTTGATACGGTCTCTATCCCCATTCTTGTACACAAGCTGGAAAGAATCGGTATCAGGGGTGTTCCGCTAAAATTACTCTCGGACTATCTTGCAAACAGGAGGCAGAAATTAAAACTAGATAATTATACTAGTGATTGCGCTAATGTGTCGTTTGGTGTCCCGCAGGGAAGTGTTCTTGGCCCTACATTATTCTTAATTTATCTGAATGATTTATGTAACATGACCCTTAAGAATGCCAAAATATTCTCTTATGCGGATGACACTGCCGTCGTTTTCACCGGAGAATCCTGGAACATTGCTAAAAAGAATGCAGAAAAAGGTCTTGAGCAAATAGGTAATTGGCTGCGATTTAATCTCCTTACGCTCAATACGGCAAAAAGTTGCTATATATGCTTTTGCATTTATAACAACGCTCAGCCAGAACTAGATTTTGCGGTGAGAATACATCACTGTCGTACTACAACAGTTAGACAAAACTGCCACTGCCCCACTATACAAAAAGTAACCGAAGCTAAATATTTGGGAGTGTGGTTAGATCAAAGACTCACTTGGTATCCTCAGCTTGAACATGTCACTCAGAGAATAAGGAATCTCACATGGATTTTTAAGATATTAAGACATGCGGTACCTAAGACGGATTTAGAAACGGGGTTTGGGGACAAGTGTCTTCTAAGAGAAATATATCTATCCCTAGTACAGTCTGTTCTTGCTTACTGCTTGCCTGTATGGGGAGGTGCAGCCAAGACGCGCTTTCTTGAGGCTGAACGTGCACAACGTGGTTTGATAAAGGTCATGTATTTTAAAAAACAAATGTTTTCAACTGATAAACTTTATCAAACTACCCGAATTCCTTCAATTAGAAAGCTTTACATTATACAGACAATTCTGAGTAAACACAAAACCCTGAAATTTGATGCCACTAATGCTGTTAGAAGAAGGGATAAGCTGGAAACCGTCAAATGCAATTCTGTTTTTGCTTCAAGACAATATAAAGCTCGTTCAGCCTACCTCTACAAAATGATTAATAAAAGCCTAAACTTATATACTAAAACATATCGCGACTGTAAGAGATGCTTACAGTTATGCTTGGAAGATCAAACCTATGATGATCTAGAGGCATTACTAGTTAAAATTAAATAGTAATGAAAACACATACACACACTGACATACATAAGCACACACACATACATACATACACACACACATACATACACACACACACACACACGCACACACGCACACACACGCACCCACACACACATACACACACACACACACACACACGCGCGCGCGCGCGCGCGCGCTAAAAAAAAAAAAAAAAAAATGTTTAAAGAAATGTAAAAAAGGAAAATGAACCTGATAAATGTAGTACTTTTAGAATTAGCTTTATATTGTAACTATAATAGAATAATTTTATTTTTTTTTTTCATTTTTCATTGTTATCTTTTAAACGTTCTACTTCAAACTCCAAAATTTATTATTTTTAAACTGTACATTGTTCTAAAACGACCTAAATTAATGGAAGAGCGTTGCTCCCTGATACAGGCTCATTAGCTTAAAAGGGGGCTACGATCACTAATATAATATAATGTACCCAATGTTTTGAAATAAATATTTATTATTATTATTATTATTATTAATATGAATTTGTGTATGTTTGTACCTAATTTTTAAAAGGGCAATATAAAACAACATAAAGGAAAGAAACAGCGATATTTTTTCTCGCTTTATTTTTACAAGCCCAACACAAACATTGACAAAATCATGATTGTGTGCAGATTTTTCAGATTTCATACAAAGTTGGATCATCCTGGTCATGCGTAAGCACAGAACATTATTACTCCTAACGGCTTGCTACATATATATTTATCTATGCGGAGCATATTAGTCTGTGAGTATACCATAGGAGTATACGCATAGGAGTTTTGGCGGGAAATTGACCGGCGGCGGTTTGCTGCTCCTGTATTATTGTTTAAATAATGGTTTGAAGTGGACTTTGATATGTAAAAGTGTTGCGATTTTGTGTATTAAGTGTCTACGCATGTGAACTATTAGTGGAAACAGTGAAACAAGTGCTCTGATGGTGATGGATTCTCAAGATAAGCTGTTTGTTTGCATAGGCACCTTTAGATACCATCGCCAACTATCAGCTGTCTGCTGGATCAAGTTGCCGCCAAAATCTCCCAAGAACTGCACAATGTGACGCATCAACATATTGTGAAGCAGTATACTAGGAAGGAGTGGGAAATTACAATAAACCGAATAAAAATACTTAAGACTTGGCCTAAAGGTCTAGATACCAGGCCATTAACTCCAAAAAAAAAATGTATACGCATAGACTAATATATAATACTGGAGAAGTATACGGTTTGCATCGCTCACCTCTAGAGTACAGTAAAGTCAGAAACACAAAATATATAGAAACACTACGCGTTGTCAGAAAAAAGTATAAGACGTATAAAAAATCGTTTCACAACCTGGTCAAATCTAATTTTTTTTGCAACAATGAATTTTTTACATAATTTTGATCCCGAAACATCAGCACGCGAAAGAAGAAAATTGAATCGCAAAAGTTATTTTATGAAGTATGAGTTACGTGATCAAGTATATTTACCATGTAATTTTGATAATTTAAAATTATTGTGTGATTGACTTATTTTCAGTCGGAATTGTAAAAAGATTTATAATGAAAGAGGACAAATAGCTGGTACTGGTAAAGATCTTTGTGACTGTTTAGACGAAACTTGTCCTGGTTGCCATTTCCCATGTCCTAAATGCAATTCTAATAAATGTGGGCATGAATGCAGGTAAATGCTATAATTTTAATAAATGGAAGTGTATTTTTCCAACAACAATGAATAAATTAGTTTTGTGTGATAAATATTTATAGACGTGAAATATATTTTTAATTGAAAATTTTCATAACATAGGTATGCATAGTAGGTAAATAATTAGATTGTAACTATACTTGCTCCCTATCATACCTTTCAGGTAAAAACACAACAGTGCATGCACTGCTAAATACAAAAAAAAAGCTATGATCATTGATATGCATAAACTAGTGTTGGTTAGTTAGTGTTTTAACATAACATCAATATCAAACCAAAATTTTATTAACAATATAGTTTACGTCTGCCATGTTTCCATTGTAAACAGGACAGGATTAGTTTTGTGAATTGTAACATATACTTTTTTTTTAGGGCAAACCGGAAATGGATGTATGAGAAAATTGAAATTGAGGGCAATGACTTTGTTATAAAAAATGTTTATAAAAGTAATAAATAAGTATTAAATAACATTTCAATTATTAGTAAGCAACTTAAAAAAGTATTCCACTTCTAATGTCCCTGCTTCTGGAAGATCTGTGCAATGAACTGCATTATGTACAATGGATTTGCCATATTGTGCTCTTATCGAATTTGGGTATAGTTGTCTGCATAACTCCTGCAATGAACGTTTTATATAAATTGTGTTTTTTCAGTCAATAATTTGTTTTCCCACAATAAAACTTATTTAGATTATAAACTTAAATACACCTTTATATAAAATTGAAATGTCCATCTGTAATTACAATATAATTAGCTTCTATTAAGCACTACTAACACTACTAAGAGCGCTATTATAGTATAGATTGCCTCTCTTCACACATCCTTATTCTTATAGCCTTCTACAATGCAAAATAGGGCCCAAAAAATCATATAGCAGTTTGCTCATTTGAAACTTAACTTAATAATTTTGCAGCAAAGTTGAAAGCAGAAATTTTCCTTGTGTTATATTACCACTTACATTTTTTATAAAAAATATAAATAATTTAAATGATTATACCATCATTTACATTTTTTTCATAATAATGAAGTGACCAACAAACTTACAGTCCACTCATAAACACCTACAATCAACTTCTTCTTTGGTTACAGTACTAAGATGGAATGTCTCAACAACCTGTTATTATACTACGAGGGCGGCACTGAAAATTTCGGGAATCAAGGAAGTGACACAACATTACTATTTAAAAATGTATTTATTGCTTTTCGAAGTATTCTCCGTGAAATTTCCATACGATGGAACCAATCATTGAAGTAACCATTCCATTCGGAGGTTGGGGTCTCCAAAATGACCGTTTTGTAGGCGTCCACAGCTTCTTCAGGTGATAAAAATCTCTGTCCACGCAATTTATTCTTTATTTTAGAGAAAGTATAGAAATCATTAGGGCTTAGGTTGGGGCTGTACGGTGGATGGTCTAATAATTCTATGTTTTCTTGCTCTAAAAATTCTTTTGTTCTGTGTGCGGTGTGAGAACTCGCATTGTCGTGATGGAGGATGATGCGGCGGTTGCAATTCTTTTTACGGAGGTCAGAAACGACCAGTGGCAAACAAACGCTAGCATACCGTTCTGCATTAACCGTTCTTTGTCCCTCAAGAGGAATAGTCGTAACATGGCCGGTTTTGGAGACAAACGTGGCCAACATTTTTTTTGCAACACTGCGTGAACGAACAATTTTTGTTGGCTTTAACTCATTTTCGAACACCCAAACTCGTGACTAGTTTTTTGTTTCGGGTTCGTACGCGTATATCCAGGATTCGTCACCTGATACGATGTTGTATACAGCATTTGAGGATCCTGCGTGGAATCTTTCGAGAGTTCTGACGCACCAAGTAACGCGAGCCGCTTTTTGCTCTTCACAAAGCGAATGCGGTATCCATCGGGAAAACAACTTTTTTACACCTAATTGTTGATGCAAGATTATTTGTATTTCACTCATGCCAATGTCTAAAGTTGCCTGAATTTCGCGGTATGTCACATGTCGATCTTCCTCAATCAGCTTACGCACAGCATCAGCAACGTTTTCTTGGGTGACTGCAGTTTTTGGACGACCTTGACGGGGATCATCACTGAGCTTGACACGTCCACGTTGAAATTCAGCAAACCAGCGATAAATTGTGGTTTTGGATGGGGCTTCATCACCAAATACAGAAATCATCCGGTCAACACACTGTTTTTGTTTTAAACCACTTCGAAAATCATAATAAATCATCGCTCTTGAATTTTCTCGAGTCAATTCCATTTTCTCAACGACTAAACAAGTATGATAAAACCTTGTGGCAAAACCGAGAATCTTTTTTAAAATAAATAAATGGTATTCGGTTTTTAAAACCAAGGGGTTTTCAATTAAAAAGATTTTAATATGACAGAAACAGTGGAAATATTCTATTCCCGATACTTTTAGTGCAGCCCTCGTATTTCCTTCAGGTAAAAATAAGGTATGTAAGGGTTAAGGAATATACAAAATCTTTGTATGCATGTGCTGCACTAACTAACGAGGCAGGTACCGATACCAACAAATGGCCGTTATAACATTCTGAACCTGTGTCTTAAAAGACCAGTGATGGTGAGCAGCATTACTAATGCGAGGCTGTCGGCTCTGCACTTACTACCGCTTACTCTGCATATCTTTGCAGGCAAATCTTTCATAGTTGTATGCTTGTTACTGCTGTCTAACGTTTTTTTCTTTTACATGGTGAAATGACTACGCATACCTGCCTCGTGGGGGTAATGATGGGTTATGTTTGACTTGCACCGGCTAAAACTATGGGAACATTAATCCTTCGCCGCATATTGGCAGGGCCATGGGAACGCTTTCAGACACATCCGCGATCCCACCAGCGGCGTCCGCCCCATGGCAGCCCCTCTTCGGGGGAGGATTACTCCTCCCCTTCTGCTTCTCAGGTAAGGCGCGCCATCTTCCGCGGCCTCAACTCCACCTGCGCAACGGACTCCCCGAGCCCGAAACGAGGAGGCCATGAGGCCAGGAAAAAGCAAGCACTCGAAAGCAGCCGCTTTCCCGAACCAGCCAGCGGCGGATCTGGTCTATGGCTCCGCTGCCAACCAAGATTTGGCTGCGGAGGGTAGGGAGAGCGACGCTTCGCAAGACGCGACACTCGTCTCCCCCCGCAGCCCCACCACCACCGCATCAACGGTGCGGCCTCATCAGAGTCGCGAAGGATAGGGTGAGTGGCGGATTGGGACGGAATGCGGTCTTTCTTTGCATCCTACCCCTGGGGGCGGGTTTGCTTTTCGCCAGTTGATCCCAGCGCTGTTGCTGACTCTGTCACTGATGTGGTGCTACAAGAAATGGAACTATTTATTCCATCACCAGTGGTACCCATCGGAGGCAGATCTCAGCCTTGGTTTGGTAGCTCCTGTAAGACTGCATTACGCAGTAAGCAGGAGTGTTATCAAGCCTGGGCTGCGGCTTCGGCGACTCGGGATGTAAACACCAGCACACTTAAAAAGAAGTATAACTTCGCCTCCAGGTCCTTCAAAATAGTCATTGCCAAGGCAAAGTCAGAGCACATAGGTAGAATTGGCGAGAAACTCGCCTCGCCTTCCTTCGGGAACCCGTGCATTCTGGTCTCTCGCCAAGGCTGTCCAAGGGAATTTCTGTAAGCCATCACTACCATCTCTGTCAAAAAGTAGCTTATATCCTTCCCCAGGAAGCAACTTACCTCTATACTAAAGTGAATGGATAAAGTCACACATTTAGCCTTATTACGTAAGATATCCTGCCATCTGCGGCACTGTCAAGGTTAAACTGACTAACGTTTCAAATAGGTGAGACCGACTTCATCACTCGGCGACGTACCTAACACATTCTCACTTACCTATCAATGTCATTACCTAGTTTTATTGTATATAATACGTAAAAAGGTACTTAATTCACTTGATCTCTTGGGTACAAAAAAGGATATCGTTATTTTCTCTAGAATTATTCATGTATACTGTACAACTATTAGACATTTTTGCTTATACAAAACACATAGGCAGAATTGGCGAGAAACTCGCTTCGCCTTCCTTCGGGAACCCGTGCATTCTGGTCTCTCGCCAAGGCTGTCCAAGGGAATTTCTGTAAGCCATCACTACCATCTCTGCACAGGGAGGACGACTCACTGGCCCATGACGCAAAAGGGAAAGCCGACCTTTTAGGCTCCCTATTTGCGTCCAACTCGACTCTTGATGACGGGGGAAAACACCGCCGACGATCCCGCGGTGTGAGTGCTCCATGCCGGATGTGCTGTTCACACAGCGCTTGGTTCGCAAAGCACTCCTCTCCCTAGACATCCAGAAGTCGAGTGGGCCTGACGGAATCCCCCCAATTGTGCTGAGGACGTGTGCTCCGGAGTTGGCACCGGTCCTAAAGCGTCTCTTCCGGTACTCCTACTCCCTAGGCGTAGTCCCGAATTCATGGAAGATAGCTTTGGTCCACCCGATCCCTAAAAAAGGCGACCGCGCAGACCCGTCCAACTACAGACGTATCGCCATCACCTCCTTGTTCTCCAAAATAATGGAATCCCTTATAAACTGCCAGCTCATGCGGTACCTTGAGGATCACCAGCTGATTAGTAACCGCCAATACAGTTTTCGTCGGGGTCGATCAGCTGGTGATCTTCTGGTCTACCTGACCCATAGATGGGCGGAAGCAGTAGAGTCCAGGGGCCATTAGTTTTGACATAGCGAAGACCTTCCATCGGGTTTAGCACAAAGCGCTTCTTTCGAAGCTTCTTCCTATGGACTTCCCGAGAAATTGTGCAATTGGATCACCAGCTTCCTTGCAGATCGGAGCATCAAGGTCGTTGTAGACGGTGCACGCTTCGACTACAAGCCTATTAACACGCCTCTACTATTATATTACAAGCCTCTACACACCGGCCGTGCCAATATTTCTCTAACAAACTTGTGTCTGAAGTCGAGTCTTTGCTGAACAAAGTCTCGGATTGGGGGCGACTAAATCTAGTCCAGTTTAATCCTCAGAAGACACAAGTTTGCGCGTTTACCGCTAAAAAGAACCCCTTTGTATCTCCTTAGTTTCAAGGCACTCCCCTTCTTGCCTCAGCCAGTATCGGAATCCTCGGAGTCGACATATCGAATGACGTGCAGTTTCGTGGTCACTTGGAAGAGAAGGCCAAATTGTCCTCTAAAAAGCTTGGCGTGCTCAGCAGAGCGGGACAGTATTTCATGCCAGCATACCGCCTGCAACTTTACAAGGCGCAGGTTCGGCCTCACATGGAATACTGTTCCCATCTCTGGGCAGGGGCTCCCCAGTGCCAGCTCCTTCCACTTGACCGCATCCAGCGCAGAGCGGCTCGAATCGTCGACGACCGAGTCCTTTCCGATCGGCTCGATTCATTGGCACTGCGAAGAGATGTTACAAAAAAAAATTAAAATTGTTTTTTTTTTGTGTTATAAGTACCGTATATACTTCCATATGCATTAAGTAAAACGCTGTTATGTTTACATTACAAACAGACACTTCGATTTAATTTATTTGTATAGATATACTGTTTCCCGCGACTTCTTCTGCGTTGAATTTATTGCGATTCGATTTCATCGGTTTAATTTTTTTTTGCGAAAAACCCTAATTCTTTTTCTTAAATGAAAGTAGCCT